GACGGCTGGATGGCATCACCGACTCAATGGAGATGAGTTTGGGTAAGCTCCAGGAGTTGGTGATGGACAGGGAAGCCTGGCGTGCTGCAGTCCATGGGGTCGCAAAGAGTCGGACACGACTGAGCGACTGAACTGAACTGAATTGAGGAAGTCTGTCTTAACTTTCAGAAATGTTGCCTAGTATTAGGGTTGGGGGCAGGAATGTGAACTCTGAAGATTCCACTGAGGAGAATGTAGATGTTAAGATGGGCCTTGCTTGTGGGATCCCTGGGGCCAGTGGCCTGGGCTTCTAGCCAAATGGTGTATCCGTGCCCTCTGCTGTGTGGTTTCATCTTTTGCGGGCCAGAAAGGTCCCTGTGCTTCTGGGTCCTAGGTGGTGACTAATTCCACCTGAAAATGTCTCCCCTTTAGTTTCATGTCTCTAAACTGGTAATATGCAAATTCATCTTGGGGAGCAGTGGTAGGAAGGGGCTTTAAGTTAATAGCTGTTTTTACCTGAGGAGCTTTCTGAGCCCCAGTCTTGAGAAGGACAGCTGGGACACTGCATTGAAATCAAACATTCTGGAGTACCTGCTGTGTACCAGCTCCCACAAGGGGGTGGAGGTGAGAATGTCACAACTCTTGCCCTCATGAAGCTCCAATAGGCAGGAGGGAAGGAATTCATATTTGTTGGAAGCATCCAGGGACTATTAAAAGCACTTTAGGGAGGGGGGATCGGGATGGGGAATACTTGTAAATCCATGGCTGATTCATGTCGATGTATGACAAAAACCACTACAATATTGTAAAGTAATTAGCCTCCAACTAATAAAAATAAATGAAAAAAAAGCACTTTACATATGTTATCTCATTTGTCCCATAAAGCAGATATTAGACTCATTTTTAATTATTTAAAATTTTTATTGCACACAAAATAAGGGTACGTATATACATCAAGAAACAGCATTGGCAGCACTCAAAAAAACTCCTTGTGTCCCCTTCCAGGCACAATCTCTGACCCAGGCGTGACCACTATTCTAACTTCTAGCACCATGGTTTTGTTTTACCTAAAAGAGAATCACACAGTCTGTGGTCTTTTGTGTCTGTTTTCTTTCATTCAACACTATGTTTGTGAGTTTCATCCATATTGTTGCAGGCAACAGTAGTTTATTTATTCTTATTGTTATATGATAATTTCATTGTATGGGTATAACTCTATCCATTCTTCACTTGACAGCTATTTGGGTTGTTTGCAATTTTTAGATATTACTAATAGAGCAGCTGTGAATGCTCTAATGTGGACCATTTTGGAAACCATCTACATGCATTTCTCTTAAGTATGTCCATAGATACTGCCCAAGAGTTTTCCAAAGTAGTTGTCCTATTGAATACTCTCCTAAGCAGTGTTTGAGAGTTCTCCAAATATTCACCAACACTAGGCATTGTCTGGACTCATTCTCTTTCTTTTCTTTTTTAAAAAAATATTTATTTGGCTGTGTCGGGTCTTAGTTGTGGCACTCAAGATCTGTAGTTGTGGCATGCAGACTCTTAGTTGCAGCATGTGGGATCTAGTTCCCTGATTAGGGATGGAACCCAGGCCCCCAGCATTGGGAGTGTAGAGTCTTAGCCACTGGACTGCCAGGGAAGTGCCTAGACTCATTTGCTATGTAAGTCATTTGAAGCTCAGAAAAGTTGTACCGTGCTGTGTGTGCTGGTAGGTGGCAGAGCTGGGATTCAAACCCAGGCCTGTGTGCCTGTGCAGTCTGTGCTTTCTCCCTTTGGGTTACACATTGACATAGATTATGATATGAACCAGACCATGGTAAACTCTAACCCTAAAAATCTGTAAAGAGGCCTCTGTGAGAATCTAAAGAGAAGAAGAATGTTTCATCTGTTTTGTAAGGAAAAGAGTCATGGAGGCTCATAGAGATGGTAACATTTGAGCCTGGCTTTGCAGGAAGGGAAGAGTTTTACTTGGAGGGCTCTCCAGGTGCCCTCCCCCCGTCCATCCCTTCTGCCATGAAAAGGGCCCAACTGGAGCTGGGGTGTAGCAGGCAGGGGTGAAAGTTTTGGAGGACTAGGAAAAGTCTACTTGAGGCTATAGTAGAGGATTTGTGGGGGAGGGGGCTATGCCGAAATGGTGAGTTGGGGCCAAACTGGTGTGTCTAGTTTGAGCTTAGTTGGCTCCCATGGCCCCCAGCTTCGGGTCACCCAGGATGTGAGCACAGGGCAGGAGCTCATGGTAGAGCTGGGGAGGCGGGACAGTTTCAAATCCAGCTCAGCTCCTGATAGCAAATGCAGCTGGTCTCTAGACAAGGAGGATCTTAGCTGTTTTTGGGACCACTCTCAGGGTATCTGCCAACAGAATTTTTTTTGACGTTTTCTGCTTTCATCTAGCTGTGGGAAATTAGTAGCCACTCCTACCTCCACCCCCAGGATCCAGCTCAAATGGTTTGTTTGGAAGTATTTTTGCAGCAAAAAGAAGCTGATAGATAGCAGTCCTGCCACCCTCTGCCTAGTCTTAGGAACCTTGCCAGGACAGGGGTGGGGGTGAGGGGAGCCGAGCTTTTGATCTGGTCAAGCCAAACTTGCCAGAATCCCAGTTCCTTTTCCTCAGAAGGGAACCGAATTGGTCTCAGTGACTGTGGGAAGCAGAAACACAATGACCTGGGGATGAGTCAAACAACAATGACAATAATCATCCTTATTTGCCCAGCAGTTTATGTCTTTATCACAGTGGATCCTCACCTGCATGTGTGAAGTAGGGGATATAGATGCTATCACCCCAGGTTACAGAGAAGGGGGACTGAGTCCCAGACAGGGAGCCAGACTGCTATGGGTCTTGTGACTGATACACACTCAGACTAGCCTAGGACTGGGGATCCTGCTCCTTTCAGGATTCTGTACTTGGCAGGCCCTGGCTGAGCAGAGTGAAGACCAAGTCAGTAGGAGGCTCTGTGATGGACAGGCAGGAGGAGATTGGCAGGTGACCCTGAGAGTAAGACGTGGGAGCCAGGCCAGTTCCACCTGGAGGTCTTCAGGGATATGTGTGCCTCGGTGGAAGGGAGAGAGGCAGGTGGCCTCTTGGTACCAGAACTCTGGTTTGTAGGGGACAGAGGAAAGAGGCTGAAATATAGATATCACCTGAGAGTTAGGACAACTCCAGCCACTTGGCACTGATGAGACGTGCCCTTATGTAATGGTGCCTCGACCCAGCGTGGTGAAAACAGTATTTTGGGGCTCACAGGGCCTGGGCGTGGTTGGTATCTGGTTGGCAGAAGAAAAGCTGCCAGTGCCAGACAAAATGAACTCTGAGAACCCTTTGCTAATGACTCCACAGGTAGCTGTTTTTAAAATTTATTCTTATTTTTATTGGAGTATAATTGCTTTACAATGTTGTGGTAGTTTCTAGTGTACAGCAAAGTGAATCAACTATATGTATCCATAAATCTCCTCTTTTTTGGATTTCCTTCTCATTTAGATCACCACAGAGCATTGAGTGGAGTTCCCTGTGCTATACAGTCGGTTTTCATTAATTATTTATTTTACATATACTATCAATAATGTATATATGTCAATCCCAATCTCCCAATTAATCCCATACCCCCTTCCACCTTGGTATCCATGTATTTGTTGTCTACTTCTCTGCCTCTGTTTCTGCTTTGTAAATAAGATAGTCTACCATTTTTTTTTCAGATTCCACATATATGTGTTAGTAGACAAAATGTGTTTTTCTGACTTCCTTCACTCTGTATGACGGTCTCTGTGTCCATCTACATCTCTAAAAATGACCCACTTCCATTTCTTCTTATGGCTGAGTAATATTCCATTGTATATATGTATTCATGGGTAGCTGGTTTTATCTTTATGTTGTGCTTACTGTATCCTGGGCCCTGGCCTTAGGGTGCTATCCAGCGTGGCATGTGGCTGTCCCAGGACTAGGGGGCTCCCTGGGGTAGGAGGATCCCAGGGGAGGATGCAGACGGCCTCTTCTGTGGAGTGGGGATGCTCTGCGTGGCTCAGCGTTGTCCTGAGGTTCTCACTAAGGTGCACTGGACAGGCCGAGTTAGCGCCGCATTACAGACAAGGAAACAGGCCTCCCACTGACAGGAGATGAAGTCACAAGCTAGTTGTGGGCAGAATTGCAGCTAGAACCTCAGGTTTCTGACTCCTGGTGCCTATTGTTATTTGTCACACCTCCTCCCCAGTCTTTCCCTTAGGGCGATGAGTGAACTGCAAATCAGTTCAGACTTGAAATTGGGTGGCACAGCCCCTGAGGGAGTTGAGGTCATGATAATCCCTTACCTTTCTACTGCGGTTTGTAGTTTATAAAATAATATCCTGATTTGCAGTGGTTTTTACAGTATTAACCCCTTTTACAGATGAGGAAGTTAAGACTGTGCAGTTTAAATGACTTAGGCAAAAGTGGGACTTGAACCTGAAACTTTTTTTAAATTATTTTTTTAGCTTTATTGAATTATAATTGACATTTAACATTCTAAGATATTTAAAATGTACATCATGGTGATCTGATACACTTATATATAGTGAAAGTATTCCCCTCGTCTAGATAATTAACAAGTTTATCACCTCGCGCACATTTATCCTTTTTGTTTTTTTGGTAAGAGCATTTGTTTTCCTCTTTCAGGAAGTTTCACTTATTCTGACTCAAAACTGGGCTCTTTTTTTCCTGCATCACAGATGCCTCTTTTCTTAGTAGACCTGAATTTCATGAGAACAAATTGCCCAATTTGCCCATGGCTCTGTTTTCTCTGAACATGTTCAGAGCAGATCTGTCTCCTTAACAAATTTGAATTAATATAAATCAAGTAAGAATCATCATTGATCACAGGTCCTGAGGAAAGTCTCGATCAAGCCTGTTCTTGAGGAATGAGGGCTGTGAGTTACCCTTTGATTTTTAGCCATTTACGCTGGGGCCTCGAGTCAGACTGGTACCAATGGACACATCTGTCCTAACCTCCGGATTTCTCCTGTTTCAGGGCTGTACGCTCCAGGCCTCGATGAAGAGCCCAAACATGGAGACGTTCAAGCAGCAGGAGGTGGAGGACTTTTATGACATCGGGGAGGAGCTGGGGAGGTAAGTGGCTGTGAGAGTTGTACCGATCGGTAGATCTTATAGGTCACAGGCTTGTCACAGGGCTTGCGGAAATCTTTACAAACGATCCAGAGGGTGAGTCATTGTCCTGGGCACCTCTGCAAGTAATCGTCTCTCTGGAAATAAAGACTTGCAGCAGAAGGGGCTAGAATTGTTGAGTTCCATGTTTTCAGTATAACCCGACTGACAGTTATGGCGAATCTAAATGACTCTTGTTTTATCTGCTGCTTTGCTCCTAAAGCCCTCCCCAGGCTCTGGCCTGAGATCTGATCCATTGGTTGTTTTCTAAAACCCACTTGGGATTCTCCATGGCTCTCTGGGTTTTGTTCTGTAAACTCAGAGCCTGAACAGAAGGTGAAATCATCTTCCTGAAAAAAGCTTTGCATCGAGTGACAAGCCACGCAAGCCTGGTCGTGAAGCTTCGTCGGATCTGAGTTATTGGGTCCATTTTCAGGTTTGCTAAACCCACAAAATGGACAGGGATAAGCTCAGATCTGAAAGCAGTTACTGTCTGGAGAGAAATGAAGATTTTCTGAAGCTCTTTCCTTGTCTCTCATTTATAACAAAGCTAGTATTCAGGTGGTGTTTTAATGATTACAGAATACCAGTCCTGGAGTTTGGGTCTCTTAACAATTCATGAAATGCGAATAGTTTTTACTCTTGTTTTTCATGAGGAAACTGTGTTCTAAAGAGTTTAAGAAAGTTGATCTAAGTTGCTCAGCCAGCAAGGGGTATGACCAAGGTCTGTCCAGTCCAGTCTGTACCTGCACACCCGTCATGTTCTCTGATGCACATGGTTCTTGCACACTCACATGTGCTCACAGTATACCCAGCCCCGTCTCTCCACACGCCCAGCAGAGTAAAAAGCTGGGGGTTCAGGGCCTTCACTGTATCCGTGGTGTGAACAAGAGCCTTTCCCTTTAAAGAGCTCTTGTGTCAGGACTCATTCTTTTACTTCCTTTTATCATTCTTTCTTTATTTTTTGCAAATATATGTATATATTAACTTACTTTTACTTTAAGCATTAGGATCACATTGAATTTATGTTAGTGTTTTACCGCAGTTTTAAAAAAATTTTGGCCATATCGTGTGGCCTTTGAGATCTTAGTTCCCCAGCCAGGGATCAAACCCACACCCCCTGCAGTGGAAGCACAGAGTCTTAACCCCTGGACCACCAGGGAAGTCCACTACAGCTTTGAATATTACATCTTAATGTATTATACATGTTTGCTCATGTCATTAAATATCTTAATGCAATTTTACATTCCCTTGTACATGCATGCCTCAATTATTCAGCCTTTTCCCCTACTTTAAAAAATAGGCAGTTTCCATTTTTTAAAATTTTCATTACTAAAGTTGCAATGAACATCTCTTAGCAGAAATTTCTGATCCTGGTTTTGATTGTTTCCCTAAGATGGATAACTAGAAACTGGGTCACTGGGTACTTTTATTTTTGAAGAAAAACTACAAAAAGCTTCAAAACCAGAGGAGCCTTAGTCAGGGAAGAATAGAAAGTGCATTTACGGGAGTTCCCTGGTGGTCCAGTGGTTAGGACTTGGCACTTTCACTGTAAGCTCCTGGTAGGGGAACTAAGAACTAAGATCCTGCAAGACACACGGCGTGGCCAAAAAAGAAAAAAGAAAGTGCACTTCAAGTTCAGGAAGTGCTTGTCCTGGCTGACTGCCTAGGTCAGGGAGCAAGTGTCTACAGAGACCCCCAAAGGGGAGATTCCTCAGCATTCTGTCTGAACCGCTGCCCCTGGCAGTCCAGAACCTGGGAAGGGCTGGGGAGAGGCTGAAGGGCGGTCACCTGGACTCTGCCTCTGAGTGGGAAGCGAGGTTCTCTTTGCCTTGGGTGCTTCTCCTGACTTGTGATGTTAGGGAGAAAGTGACCCCTCAGCAACAGACCCTGGGAGGCCCTTCCAGTGTCTTCTTAAATTTAATTTTCAAAACTTTTGGGCATGCCACAAGGCATGTAGGATCTTAGTTCCCTGACCAGGGATCGAACCCTCACCCCCTACGTTGGAAACTGAAAGACTTAACCACTGGACCACGAGGGAAGTCACCTTGTTGTTCAGTCGCCCGGTCGTGTCCAACTCTTTGTAAGCCTATGGACTGCAGCACACCAGGCTTCCCTGTCCTTCACCATCTCCTGGAGTTGTTGAAATTCATGTCCATTGAGTCAGTGATGCCATCCAACCATCTCATCCTCTGTTCCTTCTCCTCCTATCTTCAGTCTTTCCCAGGATCAGTGTCTTTTCCAGTCAGTTGGCTCTTCACATCAGGTGGCCCAAGTATTGGAGCTTCAGCTTTGGCATCAGTCCTTCCAATGAGTATTCAGAATTGATCTCCTTTAGGATTCACTGGTTTGATCTCCTTGCAGTCCAAGCGACTCTCAGCAATCTTCTCCAACACCACTATTTGAAAGCATCAGTTCTTCAGTACTCAGCCTTCTTTATGGTCCAACTCTCATATCCATACATGACTACTGGAAAGCTACGACTATACAGACCTTTATTGGCAAAGTGATGTCTCTGCTTTTTAATATGCAGACCTTTTAATGTGATGTCTCTGCATATTAAGCTGTCTAGGTTTGTCATAACTTTTCACCCCCCTACACTGGAAGCTCAAAGACTTAAACCACTGGACCACTGGGGGAGTCCTCTACAGTGGCTTTTGAGTCGATGGCCTTGTGTTGGCCACATCCTGTGTGTGGGTGTCTGTGCTAAGTGCTCCAGGTACAGAGATGAGCATGACACAGGGAGTCTTTGCCCCTGGAGCTCCAGCCTGGCCGTGGCTGTGGGCACAACAAGGGCAGTGTTGACTGGGATTGTCTCGGGTGGGCTGAGAACTGAGAAGTCAGGATGGGTTGTTGGTGTTGGGCTCTGAAGAAGGAAGTGGCAGCAGTTTCCTGTGGAATTCATCTATCATTCCTTCTTAGTTCTGTCTCTCCCCGACTCTGTACATCAGAGATATTAGAATTGGAAGAGACCTCATGTTTCTGGGCTACCTACAACAGGGTGTGAAGGCCACATGTACCTCACAGCCTGGGGAGGCTTGGAGGACCACTGCCCCCTACCCCACACACAACCTGAAACTTTCCTTAGACTCTAGCTGGACACAGGGCAAGTGAAAGACACAGAGGCCTAAGGCATTTTTCATGGCTTGCTCTCCTAGGATTTGTGGTCTAGAGGTCAGGTGAGATGGAAGCCCTGTAGAGGTCTCTCTTCCAAGCCCCTCATCTGACCCCTGAGGAAAGGAGGCTCAGAGAGAGGAAGGATGTTGCCTGGGGCCATAAACAGGCTGGAACTAGAGCTGCCTTAGAGGGGTAGCCCTATCTGTCTGTCTTCCCCTCTTCTTCACGGGCTCACTGTGTGCCAGGCATTGTCTGAAGCAGTGACAAAATAGCCATTCCTGTCCCCCAGTGGCTTATGTTCCGCTGGTGGAGGAAGACACTGAACACATGGTGGAGGGGTTGCAAAAGGACACATCGCTCCAGAGTGCATGGTGGGCTGTGAAAGGAGAGAGTGGGCCACACTGAGAATGGGGAGCATAGTTGGGACTGGGTGGTCAGGGGAGGCTGCTCTGAGGAAGTGGCAGAGGATAAGTGTGCAGGCAGGGAAAACAGCCTGGACACAGGCCCTGAGGTGGGGAGGGCCTGGGCCCTGAGTTTCTGGCCAGAGGCCTGTGTGGCCATGGAACATGAGCTGGGGACCGGCAGTGCTAGCGGAGGTTGGATATGCAATTAGAGGCCAGTCTGCAAGCTTCCTGCCAACACGGACAGTTTGAGGTTTGTGTGCTTCCCAGCTGTGCAACCTTAGAACAACTTCCTTGACCTCTCTGACTCTGAGTTTTTTGGGTTTTGTTTTTTTTACCCATGAGATAGAAATAGTAACAGTAGCTACCTCATGATTACGGGGGTGAAATGGGATGCTGAGTCTGCAGGGTTCCTCACAGAGCTGGGTCCTAGGTGTTGAATGAACACCTAGTAGGGCTTCTGCCTTTGAACTTAAACTGCCTTTAAGTCTGGGTGTCAAGACCCCATCTCCCACCTCTGGACCCCCTGAGAGGACAGTGGGGGTCTCCCAGGAGGAATAGCAGTAGGGGTTGTTCTTACATTTGGGAGGAGCAGTGTGTAAACCTTCTTCAGCTCTCTGCTCTTGCCTAGACTCAGGGCTGTTTCACTGATTTTTGTTGTTCAGTTGCTCAGTTGTGTCTAACTGTTTGCAACCTCATGGACTGCAGCATGCTAGGCCTCCCTGTCCTTCACCATCTCCCGGAGTTTGCTCAAGTTCATGTCCATTGCATCAGTGATGCCGTCCAGCCATCTCATGTTCTGATGCCCTCATCTCCCTCTGCCCTCAATCTTTCCCAGCATGAGGGACTTTTCCAATGAGTCGTCCATTTGCATCAGATGCCCAAAAACTGGAGCTTCAGCTTCAGCATCAGTCCTTCCAGTGAATATTCAGGGTTAGCTCCTCATTAAGTCCTTACTATGCAAAAATGAAAATGAGTGAGAGTTACTTTTCATTTTTTACCTGTAATGACAGGTGGAGCTCACCATCATCATGTTGAATGAAGGAAGGCAGACCCAGAAGAGTCATACTATATCATCCCATTGGTGTCAAGTTCAAGACAGGCAGAATGAATCCCTGGTGCTAGAAATCAGAATAGTGGTTATTCTTGAGGGACTAGTGGCTGAAAGGGGACATGAGCGGGACTTCTGTGGGGAGGCTATTGTTGTGTTTCTTGATCCGGGTGCCTATTTCACTGATGTGTTGATTTCATGCATATAGTTAGGCCATATTTGTATATGTACATTTTCCCATATGTATGTGTATCTGAACTGAAGCCATGTTTTAACAAGGAATCTTTAACTGCACTCCCTGCCCTTGTCTGGCCCCTGAAGTGCATGTCTCTGATGCCTTTGGAAGGTTAGTCTGGGTGTATATCAGCCACGAAAGCCATAGCACTCTGGCTCCC